CGCGAAGAGGCCAAGATCATTCCACAGATAATTATTTCTTTTTATTGAATCTAAATGACATCTAAAAATATCAGCTTTTTGGAAATGTCATCATTGGGTTTGAGTTAGTGATTCAAGGTAATTGTCATTCTAGTAGCCCTGCATGGCTCTCTGGTTGCATCCACCTTTGCTGCAAACAAGGTGTTCCTGGACACTACTAGAGGGCGCTGTTTAGGGATATGCTAAATTGAATGAACAGGTCATCTCCTTGGAGCAGAGCTTTCCGCAGGATATACTCACAGGAATTGCAACCTGGGAGAGCATTTTATAGGGTGCTAAGGAAGTGGCATGTGTTGGGGCAAAATCTGGGTATAAGTACATAACCATTTGCGTACCTGTATATGACCCTTCATTGCCAGACCATTTTCAGTGTTCAGTGCTGTGATAGTTTGACTGACAATTATTCCATCATACAACATTGTACCCCAATTAACTTTATATAATTTTTGAGATAGGTAGAGCTTTCATTTCATTCATGATATTTATTAACCGCTTTATAGAAAGGAAAAAAGACCAAAAATGTGACAATAAAAAAACTCTTTAATTTTCTGTTGTAGCCTCCCTGGCGGTATTCCCGAGTGTAGCTTGGTGTAAAGTTTCAGTAGCACAAGCGGTAACCCCGAGCTACACTCGGGCTTACCATGCGGCGCTGCTCCGGGATCTGTTCTTCACTTACCTTGTCCTGCGCTCCCGCGATGTCCCTCCTGCAGTGTCCCCGGCAATGTAATCCGGCGGATGCCGGCGTCTGTCTTCTGGGTTCCGTTCCCTGTGACATCAGGACGTACAGGGGACGGAACTGGCGGAAAATTTGAAAATGACAAAAAGTGACATTCACTAAAATCACATAGTAAAACATTACTGTATCAAACCATTTCACATACATTTTTTCCCGAGTGCTTTGTCCTGTGGTCTGCCTGTATTTTGTCTGTCCTTTCTGCCTGGAAACTGAGAAACGTCCATGGCGTCCAAAAAGCGTCCCTTTAGGTCAAAAGCAGGTTTTAGACCAGCTAGAGAACAGCGATAGTAAATTAGAACCACTTCCAGAACTGAGTGTTAATGATTCGTGGGGAAATTCGTCATCAGACACTGAAAACGATTTTTGCGACTTTGCTCAGCGATGTGCAAACTTGGCGCTCTATTTCAAATTTCAGTGTTTTTTTTGGTTTGATTATATTATTGAATTAATTTATTATTATTATATTATTATTTTTTATGATTATGTATTAAATTATAATTTATGATTTTGTGTTTCAAATTGTAACATACCCGGAATGTTTACTAGACTCTTGTTCAGACAGATTTCAGTGAGTTATTATTCCTAAAAATTACAGGCCTACAATTAATAAAATGTACCGCTTTGAGCACAGAAATATGGATATAATCAGACCGCTAGGGAGGTTAAAACATATCAAATAAAAATGCTTGGACCTTACAAACACTTCCAAAATTACCCTTTTTTGGAAATAGACAACCTAAGGTCCTATTTTTTTCTGTTATTTTTTGAAGATTAAGGCAAGTATTAAACCTAAAAGTAAACATGTATTATATTGCAGCTTTCCAATTCTTATATGTGATGGGTATATTAGTTTTCTTTTTAGGCTCTCTTTCTTCGAATTTCACCTGGTGATCCAGCCACTAAGTCTGTTTTTTTTTTAGAAGCACAACTCTCCAGCAAAATGTATCAGTTTACATGGATGAGACAATCCATTTACCACTGACAGGGGTGATAAAATGATCAGCTTTTATTTATTCATGTAAAATCTTTATCCCAAAAGAAAAAGATAACTGCTGTAATGGATTATAAAGTGTGTTACCTGGAGTTTGGCTTCAATTTGTTATTGTATTAAAATCTGCTAATATATTTAACACTCCCCTTGCCTCAGACTTACAATTCTGCTGTCTGCTGTGTCCTATGCTCCTTCATCCAGAGTGGTGTCTCACTAATACTGGAAGTGTGTTACTGGCCAGATCACTAGGTGAAAACAGAGGGGAAAAGCCAAAGAAAAGAAAACTGGTGCAGCCACCACATCTAAAGATTGGTAAGCTGCAATATATTACATTTTTGGTTTGGGGTTTAATACCGCTTTAAGAAACATGATTCATGGAATTCTCCTTCCTAGACATCCTCTGTTAGGAGAGAAAGGGAAGGGCACTCAAATGTAAACAGTATTACTGTTTACATTTTTGATTGTGCTGATTGGATCTGTGGGTTCTGCCTATGATATGACAGCACGATCATAGGCACCCGTGCTAAAGATGCTGAAAATTACACCCAGCATATAGGAAACATAAATATTATTGTGCAGAGCTCATACATGCAGATGCCACGAATTGCGCCCATCATACAAGACAAGAATACTGAGCGATATGTGCGTGTCCAAGAAATTGAACTACTGTCTGTTCTGTACAGATCACATGAAACAATGCAGGGAAGAGTGCTGCTCAGGTTTCCAGTAAAAGAAGGAATCAAGGGAGATCCATATATCATACAGGGTGACAGGGTGAGAAGTAAAACTAAGGGTTGCAATCAGAGTCAGGAGGATGCAGGCAGTACTAGCAGAAATAGGTTTTCCCTTTAGTAAAGGCAAACCATCCTCACATCTGTTTAGAAAATGATAACTCCCAGAATTCTCATTCTGACAATATATTAAAGCCCAATCCTGGACCCCCTCCTTTGTGTGTGTCCAGCAGCAATCACCACAGGTAATCGCTGGCTGTGCAAACAGCCATGAATAGCTGTGGACGCTGACAACCTGTCATTGAAGTGTGCAGGCTCTGCGAATGCAGCTCACGGGTGTCAAACACAGCAGCAGAAATCAGTAGATTCCTGCCGCCGGCATTCGCACCGTAGCAAATTGCCTGTGCAAATGTACCCTTATACAAAGCAGCAATCAGACAAGGAGCCATCAATTGCATTACATAGTGCTAGCCTAAAGCCTAGTATACACGGTGAGAAAATCAGACAAAAAATACCGTTTTTGGAGCGATCGTTCGTTATCTGATCTGATCGTTAGTACATAGCTTTTGAGAGCCGATCACTTCTGTTCTTGCAAAATTGTCCAAAGGGGCAAACACGGAAAAAAAAAAATCGCACATATGTTTGCACTTTAATGTGGCACCGCTATTGTGCTGGCACTTTTATTTTGGATTTACAAGGACACTTTAAAAGACAGCTGAATTTTGAATGTTTGTATATATAGAGGAATTTATTGTTGTTTGGATTATTAAGTGTTCCTGCATGGCAAGACCACTTACTGTTATCTCACATATATATTCTTATTATAGCCAAATTTACCACCCTAACTCCTCCCCCACAGTTTTTACACTACATAGACAGTAAAATACGGAAACGTGCGGATTGTTCCCGATTGGTGTGCTATTACTTTGTGGAACGTTTTGCCGAATGGTTCACAAAATATTGGCGCTTTTTTTTGTGGTGAAATTGGTCCCATAGGAATGAATGGTGGAATGTTCAAAACTAGAGTGGGAGCTGACAAAAGCTAGAGTGTGAAAGGAAAAATCAGGACATGATTTCTAAACTGCCATCACTCCCTCATTTTCAAGCCCACCTACACAAATCTTATATCAAAACGTTCAGCTATCCCTGCTGCCAATAAAAATGTCATAAGCCATAGTCCTGATAGTTTTTCACAATATGACCATTTGTTTGCAACTCATGCCACCCATTGACATTCATTGAAACTCCACTCTAGCCACCTCAAATTTGAAGGGCAATTTCTAAACTGCGACTGTGCCTTCATTTTTAATATTTCAGAGACATACTATGCATCAAAATGTAGGTCTGGGTCTTGCGATTCTCACAATATAAAGCTCTTTGGTGTATGATTTATAATTTTTAAACTACAATCATTTGAAGATGGCAACCGCCAGTTAAGTGAGCAAGTTGGAGCAGTTTTTTTGGTTTGATTATATTATTGAATTAAATGTATTATTATATTTTTATTTTTTTATGATTATTTATTAAATTATAATTTATGATTTCGTGTTTCAAGTTTTATCATACCCGGGATGTTTACTAGACTCTTGTTCGGACAGATTTCAGTGAGTTATTCCTAAAAATTACAGGCCTACAATAAAAAAAATACATATTTCCATGCAAAAAAATGTACTGCTTTGAGCACAGAAATATGGACATAATCATACCGCTAGGGAGGTTCAAGGCCTGGGAGGCACAAAGGGGTTAAAAATATAAAAACAAAACAAAACTAGGATGATATTTCTTAGTAAAAGTGAATAAGTTCAATGAGAGCTAATGATAGGGACAACTCCACACTCAAATCGAAGTTCATCTGTGAATATAGAATGGAACAAACAGGGGGCACCAGCTAAGTGCAGTATTGTGGAGAGCAGGAGAGCAGAGATGACATGGAGTGGGGTGTGCCGGAACACGTAAGCATACCCCCTAGGCCCTGGTGTGACGTCACCAATACATCTCTAACCAGAAAAGTGTGGTTAGAGCTTTGGTAAATTCCCCTGATTATCTGCATGGAATATGTTCACTTCAGTGCATGTATGTATGATTGTGGAGGGAACCAAAGAATGTCTGATCTTTTTGGGGAGTGAAATAGGAGGGAATTGTGTAGTATTCCCAGTAAGAAAACTACATGCTAATCTTACGTAAATAAAATAAATTAGAGCACAAGTAAAATAAATTAAAGTTAGACACTTGTTCTTCATTGCACACTTTAAAACGAGCGTCATGACGTCAACCAAAGGTCCCACGCCTCCGCCTTTCATCCCAGAACATGTGACTTCTTCAGGGGGATTCTCAGAGAGTATGCTATCAAAGTGTTACTAAACTCACAACAGTAAAATCAGTCTGTATATGCAGTAAAGCATGCTTGTTATACTTACCATGGAACCTAAGGGTTAATCCTCTGCATTGTATAAAAAGGCTGTTTGGTAATTTCTTCTCTGTTCCTCCCATTTTTCAAGCGATCACCTCTTATCTCCTGATAAGACAGACTGAACCATAGGCATTTTGCACATGCTCAGTTTGGTGTGTATTGCTAGAGAGATTTTTTTTTGTTTTCTTGGGAGAGTACATGTGATCAGCACAGGGCCGATCAGCACTGGTCAGACAGAGATCAGGGGTTTTGCATCCTCCAAGAGCAGAAAGAAAACTCCTACAAGTTTTAACCAGTGCTCTGCTGAAGTCACAAGACTGCTCTAGCTGCTGATGAGAAAAGGTATTTAGCATATTTACTAATATAATTGCATTTCCATGTTGTGTGTACTGTGGGAGACCAGATATAGCGGACTCAGGGTCCTGGGTTTAGTAACACTTTAATGTAGTGGTGGAAGTGATATTGCACAGAATTAGCACATATGCTGTACATATCTGGTGCGATCTAGCACTTAGACCAAGTGAGTGTATATTGATCTAGTTTAAGGAGTTTATTAAATATTTTAAAGATAAAGCACTATCTAGTGTATTATTTACATGTTGAAAAGCGAACACTATGGAGGAGATGAGCAGAAAGCTGTGGACAGTGGCTTTTGATATACACAGGAGATCTTCGTGGTCCATGAAAGGGACAAATGACGTGTTTAGACCGAGCATTTATTGTGAGGTCATAAAGTGGAGATGAGCATACATCTGGTGGTGGTACAGTCACTAAACTGAACTGGATCAAGCATGAATGGTGAGACATATTTAAGACAACAGGACTTGGTTTATTCCATTGATGGCACAGGACTATTATTTTTTGATTGATGATTATTTATGAATGTTTATTTACTATGACTATTATATATGATACAGTATTGTGTCATTATATTATTCAGCACTGCACATTTTGGATTATACAGGGTGCAGCAACATAATTTCCTTTTTTGAAATGCTGTGCCATTCAGGCTGTAGCGGCCATAGCGGGCGGGAGTGGTCTCAGGCGACAGGCGTAGTTCTAAAGTTTTTGTTCTCTTCCAGGTCAGTCATCATCATGCGTTGGAACAGTGAGCAGCGTGCGTTTGCCGTAGAGGCCTACTTTTCGAACGGATTTTATGTGATCGCAACCCAACGCGCCTTCCGACATCGCTTCAATGTAGCCCCGTTGGGCCATGTCCCGGACCGGAAATCAATTGTTACGTGAGTCACTACGTTCAGACAAACTGCGAGTACGACAAGACGAAGAGCTGGAGTCCCTCGACCCATCAGATCACCTGAGAACATTGAAGCAGTGAGAGCTTCAATCTTGCGATCCCTGCAGCGTTCTGCACGCAAACATGCGTCTGCCCTTGGACTTTCAGATCGTTCAGTGAGGCGAATTCTTCACGATGACCTTCATTACCATCTGTACAAGTTGGCGATTGTGCCAGTCCGCTCCCCCGATTTGGCCCCTTGCAACTTTTTTTTGTGGGGTTTTTTGAAATCCCGCGTTTATGTAAACCGTCCAAGGACCCTACAAGACCTGAAGGCCAACATCCACGCAGAAATTGCCCAACACCCGCTGCTATGCTGGTAAGGGTCATGAAAAACGCCAGAAATCGGTTTATTCAGTGTATGGACAATGGGGGGCGTCACCTACCTGATATGATTTTCAAAACTGTGTAAAACAGAACTTTAGATATGTACCTACATTATTAAAGACAGCAAAAACAATTCTGATTCATAAAATGGGTTTTATTGCATTTTGAAAAAAGGAAGTTATGTTGCCGCACCCTGTACAATAAATATGTCCTAGACTGAGTCTGAATCATCGGTGGGACGTGGGACTGTGCTTGCGTCTTCGTACTACAGAGATAGGGAGAACCTATATATTTCCATTGGCCCCTCCAGGGTAAGTGCTACACTTTACTGTATATGATACAGTATTGGGTCATTATATTAATCAGCACTGCACATTTTGGATTATATAATAAATATCTCTTAGACTGAGTCTGAATCATCGGTGCGCATGGGACAGTGCTTGTGTCTGTGTACTACAGAGATAGGGAGAACCTATCTATTTCCATCGGCCCCTCCAGGGTAGGTGCTACACATCCTATCCTCTTCTCTCACTTTAACTACTCTTCCCTATTTTCTCTACTATCCTCACCCCCAAATTGCTCTGTATCCTCTGCTCATTTTTTTTCTGCTAAGTCTGAAATACTTTTTATTCATATTGAGACCTAATATTACATATTTAACAGCACTTGTGCATTCTTCAGAATTGCCCAGATAAAGATGTGTGCCCTTTTGTTACCTCTATATTATACTAGATACATATGTTATTTGTAGCTAAACTGTAAAAATGTAAAATATTAGATGAGAAAAATGTATATGGATTTATATACAAGGATAGTCTACTGTACAAGAACAAAGTACAAGTGTTTGAGTGATGAAAGGATACAGTCGCGCTGTAGAGGAATTTCTAATAAAAATCCATTCCAATTTCCTCTTTGGTTGATATTATTGAAATTTACGGCTTTGCAGCTCTCTTGTGACTGGGAATCTTTCCAATACACTACAGGTAAACAAAAAGCGCACCAGCATTGTATGATATCTTTAGTAAGATTTCATTAACTAGCATTTGCTCATACTTCCAAAAGAGCTCCAGAAATAAACACCCACCCAAGGTCTGACGCACTCTATCATGTAGTGGTTTCCAAACTCGGTCCTCAAGTCCCCCAGTAGGTCATATTTTTAGGATTACCTTCACCTTGCACAGCTGCTTTAAATTAATATCAATGGCTTGGTATTTATGGTGGCTATTTTATCAAAAGGATGTTCCCAAAATATACCAGTTGAGTTACTTGGAGACTGAGGTGGGGAACCACTGATCATACAGGAGATCCTCAACCATAGATTCCAACAAGCAACATAACAGTCACTGCTTAAGGTTTGCATCCAAACCGATGCATTTCAAGGGTGAACCCTGTTCTTCAAAATTTTGAAGAGGGTTTACCGCTGAAACATGTCAGAGAGGACGCACACCTCAAACAGTGACTATATGTTGCTTGACAGAATCTATGGTTGAGGATGTCTCATATCTAGATGGTAGAGAGGGTTACACCTTGGATGGGTTACATGCAACATGCTTATTTGTGGAGAACTTTTGTATGAGGAAATACTCAAAAATACTGAATATATGACATGATGTCAGTGTGTAATGTTTGTCCTGTAGAAAAAAGTGTATAAAAAAATCACTGTTATTGGCACACAGATAGTATATAAAAGTCCAGTAGGGCTACGTAATTACATAGTTAGTCTGGCTGAAAAAAGACAAAAGTCCATCCAGTTCAACCATTAAAAAAAAAGTTATAATCCTATACCCACAGTTAATCCAGAGGAAGGCAAAAAAAAACCAGCAAAGCATAATCCAATTTGCTCCTGCAGGAAAAAAAATTCCTTTCTGATCCCCCGAGAGGCAATTGGACATTCCTTGGATCAGCTTTACCTATAAATGCTAGTATTCAGTTATATTCTGTGTAAAGAGCTAATAAGATAGTATCCTTAATGGGATACAGATATTATTACAGGTACTTGTACAGCGTCATCAATTTACGCAGCGCTTTACATATATATTGTACATTCACATCAGTCCCTAACCCTCAAGGGGTGTACAAGTCTAAGGTCCCTAACTTACATTCATACATACACATACTAGGGCCAATTTACACAGGATCCAATTAACCTACCAGCATGTCTTTGGAGATATTCTAACTCTTTGACATGATTTCAAAAACAATACATATGGGCCAGGTTAGAACTGAAAGTGTTACTAAACCCAGGACCCTGCATTCACTATATCTGGTCTCCCACAGTACACACAACATGGAAATGCAATTATTTTAGTAAATATAAACTGCTAAATACCTTTTCTCATCAGCAGTATATGGCAGTCTTGTGACTTCTATCAGTGCCCAGCAAAAGCACTGGTTACAGCTTGTATGAGGAGTTTTCTTTCTCCTGTAGGAGGATTCAGGACCCCTGACCTCTGCCTGGACAGTGCTTATTTGCCCTGTGCTGATTACATGCACTCTCCAAAGAAAAAAACTCTCTAGCAATACACACCACACTGAGCATGTGCAGCTTGTCCCCAAGGCTCTGTTCTATCAGGATATATTTAGGAGACACTGGAAGAAGGGGTGAATCAGAGAAGTCAGGATCAAACAGCGTTTTTACACAATGCAGAGGATTAACCCCTTAGGTTCCACAGTGAGTATAACAAGCATGCTTTACTACATATACAGACTGATTTTACTGTTGTGGGTTTAGTAACACTTTAAAAGAGAAGTATGGGTTTCAGTAACAAAAAAAAAATTATACTCACCTAAGTGGATGTAGCATTGGTCAGATGCTGCATCTGTCCTTGCCGGATCTAAGACTGAGAACTGATCAATCAAATACCGTTGCTTGCTCAGCTCTTGATCTTCAGGCTGCAGAGAGCCAGTGACTGTCAGTCACAGGCTTTCTACTCTGCCCTTCCAGGGCTCACTGGAGTGCCGGGCTGTGGAGGGTGCAGGAGCTGCTGGCTCAGACTCTCAACTGCTCGCTGAGAGGCTGAGCCAGGAGCTAGTCCAGGCATGTGGGTGGATTCCAACCATATGGTCAGGATTTTTTCAGAACCTGAACTGGCTCAGTGATGTCAACGTGAAGTCACAAGAGTGCAGAATGAACTGCACTCCTTTGATCCATAGGAGAAGTATGGCCAAAATAGCTTTAGCCCTGCATCTCCTTTAAACAGTATATCCTGCCAAAACGTTTAAGTGAGGAAAGGTAAGAACCTTCCTGTCAGGTTTAAGTGCTATTCTTGGACTCCATCAGAGAGATGTCTTCTCACTTCCTGTTCTACTGACAATGGTTTCACCAGACAGGAAGTAAGGAAACATTTCCAACAAGGACACAGAAAAAAAAAAGATTTATGCTTTTTCGTTAAAGCTTTACCAGATTCACACCAACTGAGATGGGAAAGAGGGACACCTTTTAGAACAAAGTATGTAGGCAAAAGACACACCTACTGTGCCACGTCCCCAGTGCCTAGTACACACGATGGGAAGATCGGATGAATGTTCACTCACGTTTTTTTGCATGCTAATTCTCATATCGAATATGAGAGTGCTGCTAAGCGTATGAAAATTCTGGTATGAGCCAGTGCAACTTCCCATCTGCGTAGCAACGTAACAGCGTGCAATCGATGTACGTGTGACCCCCTCTGCAGATTATTACCAAATTGTAGCAATAAGATAATCACTTCATTATTACTATTATACATACAGTATTTATATCCTGAAAATTATATTTTTTTTGTATTTAGGAGCATTTTCGTTGTATACAAAGATTGTTTTCGTTGCCATTTTTCCTTCCGGGCTGTTTTCATGTTTCCAGTCTTGCGTGGTTTTGATCACTGAACTTTTTACAGATAAATAGTGTACTGATTAAAATGAAAATCATTTGTTCTGCTTATTTTGTACTTGTCCCTTCGGATATTTTTGCACAAACTGTGTGGTCGGCTCATGAAAGCTGTGTACTAACAAACAGATTATCAGACGATTGTTACGCATGCATTCTTTTTGTCTGATTTTATCATGTATACTCGGCCTTACTGCTATCCAGGATTTCCCTCATTCCTATTCTGCTGACAACTTCACCAAACAGGAAGATATAGCTCCCAACTGTCCCCAATTTGGAGGAATGTCCCTCTATTGGAAGAAAATCCCTCTGTTCCTCATTACTTCTGAAATGTCCCACTTCTATACAGAAGACCTCTAAAAAGTATCTAACTACCAAAGTGTTACACTGCCCTAGACCTTTCATCCAACCTCGAAAATTATAGCCTTTGCTATTTTGTTATTTTGGAAAGCCAACACAAAGGAAAAGTAATGGTAGAAAAGAATGTATAAAACAGGAAGGTATAGCTCCCAACTGTCCCCAATTTGGAGGAACTGTCCCTCTATTGGACGTAAATCCCTCTGTTCCTCATTACTTCTCAAATGTCCCTCTTCTATACTGTAGACCTCTATAAAAGTATCTAACTACCAAAGTGTTATACTGTACTAAACCTTTCATCCAACTTTGAAAATTATAGCCTTTGCTATTTGGGAAAGCCAACATAAAGGAAAAATAATGGTAGAAAAGAATGCATAACCATGTAATCTTGTATCATTATTAGGTATCTATTCCTCATGATCATCATGTATTGATTCCTCATGAGTAACCTTGGCAGGCATTCAAGACCTTCCCCATTGTATGCAAAAAAAAAAAGATTTTGGCTGGACATACTCTTTAGTTCCAGTTATAATAGTTCTGTTACCAGTATTGGGTACAAAAAAAAATAGCTATACTGTATCTTAGACTGTTGGAATAATACGTCAATACAGCTATCATTTAGGCACTAATCCCAATGTGGGAAGTGAAGAACCTGTTGACAGAACATCTACTCCATCCTCCATTGTGAAGACAAGTCCAAACAGAACTGACACAAGCCTGCTTTCATGTCAATGACTCAGAGTACAGGAACACACCTCTGCTTTCCTAGAACCACTTGACTTGACAGACTTGACCTGCAAAAACACCAGATACGCATCATGAGATGGTTGGTAAAGTGGCAATTTGGCCTGACCTTGGAAAATTGTATCAAGCAGCAGCTTTTTTTTTACTACATTATCGATTTTCCTTTTTTTTTTTACCTTTTTTTGAAAAGTAATCTAATCAAAATAAGAGCAGTCTGCGAGCTTTGCATTTTTTCTATGAGGTTAGCGTTAATTAATTCAGTTATTCAGTTTAGCTGCTGCCATCAGCTTAGCACCCGACAGGCCGATACACCACTGCTCGCCAAAGTGCTTACAGTGTCATAAAAAAAAAAAAGTATTATAGAATTTTTAAGACACAGTCAATCATTTCTAAGTCAATTATCCTGTTACTTTTGTGCGTTTTGCTGGTATTATACATGGGTGACAGAAAAGACTAATTGTTCTGTGTTAGTTCAAAAGTAACAATGTAGCCAAATATAGAGTTCAATTTTGAAGGCTTTTTATGGTGCTGGTTTCTTGTCATAGGTTTGATATCTATATCAAACAAAACATTGACATGCTGAGCTTAGAACGTAGAGGTGTATTGTATGCACATTATCCCTGTAGTGGAGAGAATGAAGTGCTCTTTATAGAAATGTATTTTTAAACTGATAATTATTAGGATTCCAGGTGAGGCCATTAAATCAGCAGGACCAAGTAGTTAATATATATAAACTATATGAAATACAAAACACAGAGTCACTTAACCAACTTTGGTTAATTTTAAAAATAACATCTACAGTATTTACTGGAATAACGTTTACATAGCTGTAAACGTGTGAACAGACAATGCCTACATAATACAATTGGTCTTTAATTCCCCGAAGCATAATCTCACTGCTGGGCCACAGTACAACAAACAAAATATCAACCCTACTATAAGTTGGTCACTGAACTTGGACACATTTGCAGTAGAAGACAGTTGCCAAGACTGAGTTCCAGAAGCAAATAAAAAAATATAGACTCCACTTATAGTGTTTGTTACCCCAACATTTCATATTCCTTCCTGATAAGTGTATGTTGTACCATGTACTCGTGTTAAAAACCATCCTGTTCTCTCTGTATTTCTACCTTTTGAGTGAAATACCAAAAGATTCAGCCAGTCCCTCTGCTTTCCTATTTCAAACTGACCATACTGAGTATAGAAGCACATCCTTCCCAGCATTATTAGTTTTCTGGCTGTGCTGGGTATTGATGGCCTTGATGTCAAACATAAGTTCGACTCAAACATCGGCCATTCATGTGTTTGGTGAATACAAGAACAGCAATAATATTCGGAGGACTATTCGCCCGCCGCACCCCACAATGCATTGCGCTCTCACAGTGCATTGTGATTGGCCAAAGCAATGCACCTGACCACAGGTCAGGAGCAAGGCTTTAGCCAATCACAGTACAATTGGGCTGAGCTAGCGGTGATCGGCAAATGTCAGACCGGCATCTGACCGGCAAATGTCAGACTTGTCAGATTGCGACGAGTGATCGGTGGGTGCGTACATGTCGGCGGACGCACCGCCGCACTCCACAATGCATTGCGCTCTCACAGTGCATTGTGATTGGCCAAAGCAATGCACCTGACCACAGGTCAAGTGCAAGGCTTTAGCCAATCACAGTACAATTGGGCTGAGCTAGCGGTGACTGGCAAATGTCAGACTGGCATCTGACCGGCAAATGTCAGACTTGTCAGATTGTGACGAGTGATTGGTGAGTGCGGACATGTCGGCGGACGCACCGCCGCACCCCACAATGCATTGCGCTCTCACAGTGCATTGTGATTGGCCAAAGCAATGCACCTGACCACAGGTCAGGTGGAAGGCTTTAGCCAATCACAGTACAATTGGGCTGAGCTAGCGGTGATCGGCAAATGTCAGACCAGCATCTGACCGGCAAATGACAGACTTGTCAGATTGCGGCGAGTGCTCGGTGGGTTCGGATATGTCAGCAGATGTCAAGCTTTTTTTTATTTCAGTGAGTCGTCATCGTCTTGACAACGCTGGACACTGTGATTGAAGATGGATTACAATGATGGAACCATTTTTTTGCCTTTTTATTTTTTCTAATAAAGGACTTGTCAAAAACTGTTTTGTTTTTTGTTCAATAAAGGATTTATTCAAAAGTCTGGCATGTTTATCTTTTCACAATTTAACCCTTTAGTGAATGGGTAGGGGTACAAGGGGTGCAGCCACAAGCATCATCTAGATATCTTTTTTTTCAGCTGGCAATTCCCTGCAATGTAAAAGCCATATTTATTGCTTTTACAGGCAGTGGGAAGGGAAGCCCCCCCCCCCCCCTCCTGCCACCCACCAGCACTTCTCCATGCTCTCCTGTGCGATCAAGCAGCCAGAGAACCAATCCGCCGGCGGCAACGCTTTACCAAAGAGCTGTTCATGGTCCAGCTTGTCCCTG